CAAGTATTCCACCTTATGGTTAATAGCTTTAAGTAACACTTGATCAACAACATCTTCTAGTACATTGTCATAACTAGTGAGATCAATGTAACTTAACAAGAGATAACTTGAGGGTTAACAAGGTTCTCTCCCATTACGAATGTACCGCACTAGACCTTGTGTATTTAAGGTAGATCCAAGTTTTTGGGCTAGTGGTAGATCTTCAATTTCTTGATGATCCACATATTTTGTGTTAACAAATCCTCGATATTATTCTTCCACATGTGATACTAATATTTCTACTAGTTCCGTTTGTATATTATCATATTGAAATTTCCAATTATGGTTCCCGTGTTTGTTCACCAAGAGGTATATCTGTCCCCTCTTTGAACAATCAAAGGAACAAAGGATGGAGTTTTTAAAGATTCTCGAAATTCTTGATCTAAGATAAATTTCTTCAAGAATAACTTTACTCATGGGCTTATGATTTTTCATATAGTCCTCCTTTAAGAAAGTCATGTGATCGTTCACTAAGACCATATTATCCTTGGGACTAAATAAGACCCAATCCCGGGTTCTCTTACGATAGTCAAAAGATATGCACACTTCCGTACAAAATTTCATCTTATTTGACTTATTATAAGACATGTGCCGGAGTACCCTAAATCTGAATATAGTATAAACTGAGCTTGTACCCTTTTCCATAATTCTATAGGTGTCTTTACAATAGACTTTGATAAACTAGACTATTCTCATACTCTTAGCCTAATTAGGCTTAAGTAATAGAGTACTACAAACCCAACACATGCTTGATTCCACTTAAGGTTTTGAGTTTAAATTCTTGTAAATATAAAAAAAAAAAATTTAGAAAGTTAATTCCACCATAACGTGAATATTCTCAGCTTGAACGAAATTGTCTCCTGTGAAAAAAATCCTAAAATAATTATCTTCGAGTGGGCAATGCATGGTTGGCTAATTAAGGAGAAATTTTGGAGTGTGGGGTTGGGCTTATAGAGGCTCTTCCTCCTCTCTCAGATAGGTTGTACCTCCTTTTTTTTTGGTATTATGTAGGGGTGGGCGCTGCATGGTTGACTAAGGGGCAATTTTATAGTGTGGGGTTGGGCGATATAAAAGCTCTTCTACCTCCCTCACTCTAGTACGTGCAACTTGGTTACTCATATATCTTTTTATTTCCCAACTTTTCATTTTCCCGGCCCCACATAACAACTTATTTATTTCTTCATGAAATTTAGATAAAATTCCAAAAAATAAATAAAAAAAAGTAATCATAACCAGTAACAAATTGTTAAGCGGTGCAGATGCAATCCATACGTATGTGATATATATATATATATATATATATATATATATATATATATATATATATATATATATATATATAGGCAAGATCCTTTGACACCAGTGTCAAACTTAAAGTTTGACACCTCATCTTAGAACCGTTAGATCAAAAAAGATCGATGGTGTCATATGCTTACAAATCAGAATCGTTGATCTTTTTTGATCTAACGGTTCTAAGATGAGGTGTCAAACTTTAAGTTTGACACTGGTGTCAAACTTTAAGTTTGACACTGGTGTCAAAGGATCCTGCCTCATATATATATATATATATATATATATATATATGTATTTTAAAGGCATCAATTAAATATAAAGGTAGGTAGAGAAACTTTTGACATGGGAGTGCCATGGAAGCCCCACCCCATATTATTGAAGCTTGTAAAAATACTATCCTAGAATGAGCAACTCCACTACTTTGAATAGAATTAATCTCACACATAAAAAATATGAAGATACAAGAACAAGGACAAAAATTAACTTGGATAAAATATTATCATTACGACAACAATATTATTTATCATTTATAAAATTAAATTGAAGACTGGAAATGTGTTTATATCTTTACTATATGTAAAAGGATGAGTTTTATAATTTTTCTTTATAAAATATATACTTGTACATAGAAATAATTAATACATTGCTTTTCGTTAGTATGGATATCTTTTCTATCCGATTTGGTTTTATTTAACAAATTATAATACAATTATATTCCTTTATTTGGTGAATATAAAGTTAATTTGTTTGGTTTTCTAATTGACTTCTAACTTTTATTCCTATATAACCTTTTTTTAATTATTAAGATATTTTTCAATACGAGAAAATTGAGTATTTTCGTTAAGTTTATATATCGCATAACACGAAGAAAAAAATTTTAAAAATAAATAACGATTGTGTAATAACGCGTTAATTAACGACATCAAAACATTTCCAAAAACTAGTTTTAACGGTTGAATGAATTTGTGTTAAACTTCCCTTTGATCGTTCTTGTTTTGTTTGATTTTTTTTTTCAGTGTGGTTTAGTTTTGAATTTTTATTTCTATATCAATTTTCATTAAAATTATTATTATTACTATAATTTTTCCTTTTTTATTTTTTTTGCTTGTCAATAAATTCTGTTTTTTTTCTTTTTTTTATCTTTATCTTCATTTTATAAAATATTGTAGTTAACTCAAATTTTTATTTCATAAACGTTTGGTCTGATGAATACTTCTTTTGACTTATATCAATTTCTTAAAAAAATTCTTATAAATATTAGATTTTATCCTTTTATTATTAACATCGTTCAGTTTAAAGACTAAAATAAATAGTTTTAATATTATTATTTCACTCAATAAATTCAAAATAACCTTCCTAAGATGATTGTGTTAAGGTGGGTTTAGTCTTCAGTCTCCACCACAATAGATTCCCAAACCTTTACCCTTCTCCTTTTCAAATTTCGCATTTAAATTTTTTTAATTGATATACATATCTTCTTTATAATTTTAATTGTTTGAATATATACTTTTTATATTTCCCATAAATTATATATGTATGTATATATATATGTATATATATATATTATATTTATATTTTTAAGAATATTTATGCAATACAATTATTGCTTCGTTTGTAAACTCATAAAAGTAGAAAAGAACTAAGCTCATTTGAAAATAATTTCATTTAGGATTTCGGTTTGTTCTATTTGCCTCTCTGATTTATCATGTATGGCTTGGAGGATGTGAATTATTAAGAACAACTATTTTTAAGACATTACTAATTAAAAAACAATCTTTTTTCCATATGATGTCAGATATGAAAACTTGTGTACAAGAACTTAGCATACGAATAGATGAAGTGTACAATTTGGACAAGTGATTTGATATTGAATTAAAAAAAATTACTTCTGCAATGTATCTTACAGGTGTACTTCTTATCCTGACATCAAATTGCAAAATTGTTAATCCTATAGTTAAATTTTCATACTTTTTTTGTACAAGTTTTTTTTTTTAATATATAAGAAGACCTGTCAGAGAAACTTACATTTTTTTTTCTCTTTCTTTTTTTTTGTATATTCTTTTTTCTTTTCTTTTCCTATTTAAAGTAAGTGTAAAAAATATACAAATTCACATATATAAATAAAGTTGATGTTTCTAAATTCTAAGTAGTATTAGAGACATTTTTTACACATCATTTTTATATACCATTTCTTGCAGCTTGTTTGGAGAATATATGAAGTACGTTGAAATATATATTGATTTTATTTTATTATTGAAAAAGTTGTGTGAAAATGGTAAAATGGAAACCCTATATCAACAAGATCGATCGCCATCGTTGTTAATATTAGGTTACCTACATGATTGCATTGCGATTTCCGTAGTTTGGAGTCTAAACAAGTGTCATGTCGTTTCAAACTGGAATACACCACAAATAATAATTTGCCAATTATATTTGGATTGAATAAACACCATTTTTTTAATGGGTAACTCAAAATAAACAATGGGTGGAAAGATATGTAATTAGAAGGGGATGATCGTACTTATCACCTCTTATTATCTCTTTTGTAACAGTTAGATAGTGGCTTAGAAATATGATGGAAAGAGGAAGATGAGAAAGGGAGTGCAATAAGTGCTTGAAGAGATAGAAAGAAAATTTGTATCAAATAATAATTGTTGATTTGATTTTATCCAACAGTTTTAAGAGAGGTAATAAGAGGTGACACAACTATTCAGCGTCCAAGAGACATGACTCTTTACCACTGAACAGAATCCATTTTGATTTCCTTTCATATTTGTAAAGAATCAGTATACATATTTGTCCTTTTAAAAAATATATAGCTGTGTTATTTTAATCAGAAATTGAGAGAAAATGAGAGGTTTTTAATTTAAATATTAAATAAATAATAATAATTTTAACTAAAATGACTGTCTTTTGAAAGGACAAATATTTTTTTCCTATTTATCAACCTGCTTTCGTTCCATATTTGTCATTTTAAAGAACACAACTTTGTATAGTTTTAAGTGAAACAACTGTGTTTGGATATATATTTGGTGGTTTTAAATTTCTTCACTCCTCCAATCCTCCACAAAATTTGGAGCAGAGAAAGAAAGAATATTGTAAAGGAGAGAGAAGGTAGAAAGACCAAAACATAATAGTTTATGGTAAAATGACATAAGTTATGTCGTTTTGACTCAGAAACTTTTTCTCGTATATGTGAACTATGACTAACCATGATAAATGATGTATGTTTGGCTCTGAATTTGTTCAAAGATAAAAAAAACACATCTCTTCACATTTAATTTTTTATTCTTTAACATTTTAATTTTATAAGAAATCTAACAAGAAAGGCTACATACACACTCGCGAAACCCACGTAAACATAATTTGTAGTGAAGTTAACCAATGAAACACAGAAAGTTAATTAAGCATTGGCAATTTTTGGGTAAAAGTTCTTTCTTTAGGTACATAAGAGCTGGTTATAGAAAACCAACTACCTACTTGAGCACGTGGTGGCCAACTACCCCATCCTATTATATATGCATGGATAAAGTGAAAATATGTTGAGCCAATCTATCTCTATAAATAGATGTGAGGGGGATTGGTTCTAATTGCCTTAGACGTACATTTTCCACTCTTAACTTTCCCTTATTTGTGTTTTAGGTCTTTAACCCTCATTCCCCAACGAAATGGCATACTTAAGGGAAATAAGAGAGGCGCAAAGGGCTCATGGCCCAGCCACTATACTAGCCATTGGTACTGCAACTCCTTCCAACTGTGTTTACCAAGCTGACTTCACCGATTACTACTTCCGAGTGACCAAGAGTGAGCACAAGACTGAACTCAAGGCCAAGTTGAAGCGCATATGTAAGCTTAAAGGATTATTATCTATATATTCATGCAGCATCAATATTGTATCATTGTGTGCATTTCCGCGCGCTCACTTTCATAGTAGCTTAGCTTTTATACTTTTATTTGATTATATTGATTAAGTGTTTGCATCAACCTCAAATTGCATGCATGTCGTCATGCATGCACCGATATATATAATATGCATGCTTCATGCGTACGTTAAAAAGTCAAAAAAATTGAGAAATAACTTTTTCTCATCGATTTCTCACGTACATCATTTTTTTATATTAAACCTTTGCAAAAAGAAATAGTTTGATTCAACATATAATGTGAGAAGATTATTTTGTTGACTCTATCTTCTTCGTGTCCTGAACAGGTGAGAAGTCAATGATAAAGAAACGTTACATACACCTAACGGAAGAAATCCTCGAGGAAAACCCCAACATAGGCACTTATAAGGAACCATCCCTTGATGCACGCCAAGACATTTTGGTTGTGGAGGTGCCAAAGCTTGGAGAGAAGGCAGCATCTAAAGCCATAAAGGAATGGGGTGGACCCAAGTCAGAGATAACTCATCTTATATTTTGCTCCACCTCGGGTGTGGACATGCCTGGTGCTGACTATGAACTTGTGAAGCTCTTAGGTCTCAAACCATCCACCAAAAGGTTCATGTTATACCATCAGGGTTGTTTTGCTGGTGGCACTGTGCTTCGTCTTGCTAAAGATCTCGCTGAGAATAATGATGGTGCACGTGTTCTTGTTGTATGTTCTGAGATCACAGTTGTTACATTTCGTGGACCCTCTGAAACACACTTGGATTCCTTAGTGGGACAAGCACTCTTTGGTGATGGTGCTTCTGCTGTGATTGTTGGATCCAACCCTGACACATCCATTGAACGACCACTATTCCACCTTGTCTCAGCCTCAGAGACAATTCTACCAAACTCTGAAGGTGCAATTGAAGGACACTTGCGTGAGGTGGGACTCACGTTCCATCTCAAGGAAAATGTTCCCCAGTTGATTGGTGATAACATAGAGAAAAGCCTTGAAGAAACCTTTCACCCACTTGGGATAAGTGATTGGAACTCATTGTTTTGGATAACACACCCTGGTGGCCCTGCAATCTTGAAGCAAATAGAAGCAAAACTTGGGTTGAAGCCTGATAAACTAAAAGCAACAAAACATGTTCTAAGTGAGTATGGGAACATGTCGAGTGCATGTGTCTTATTTATATTGGATGAGATGAGAAGGAGGTCAATGGAGGAAGGAAAATCCACTACTGGTGAAGGACTGAATTGGGGTGTTTTATATGGATTTGGCCCTGGCTTGACCATGGAGACCATAGCTTTGCATAGCGCCAACATAGACCCTGGCCACTAGCTTCCATGATTGTGTAGGGATATATATAAATGTCAAGTTTTTAAAAAATAAAATAAGCATGTACATGTGCTTGTTTGTGTGAGTTTTTCATTACTGTCTCAATAGTATAGGCTTGTGGATAGTGCTCCTTATTTTGTGCACTATATATGTAATAAAGTTTGTTGTTTGCACTCAGTTATTTTTAATCACTTTTACACTTTTTATTGGAAAAATAAAGAGATTGAATGTGTTAAAATGTGTATTTTTTTTTTTTGGTAAGCAAAATGTGTATTTCTCTTATACTATATATGTAACGAAAAGTTTCCTTCTTATAAATACATATAGGGAAATTTTATTCTACTTATCTTTTTTTATGTCTAACTTATATATCAATCTCCATCGTCATTAGATCAGAATCTCAAAAAAGAGAGAGAAATGATAAAAGTTAGTTGAGATTCTGATCTAAGGGTGTTGGATAATGACAGACAAAGTAGGCATGAAAAAAGTAGATAAAACAACATATCTCATATATATATATATATATATATATATATATATATATATATATATATGATAGGATATTGTAACAACCAACTAGTGTTACTACCAATATTACTACCAATCAATTTCACCGTTAGATCGATTATGTTGATCCAACGGTTATATTTATTTTCATCTTTGTATGGTTATGATTCCCCATATTTAATGCTTTCACATTAAATATGGGAGATCATAACCATACAAAGGTGAAAATAAATATAAAGTATTAATTATGGAGAATCATAACCATACAAAGATGGAAATAAATATAATCGTTGAATCAACATAACAATCTAACGGTGAAATTGATTGGGAGTAACATTGGTAGTAACACTACTTGGTTGTTACAATATCCCTCCTTATATATATATATATATATATATATATATATATATATATATATATATATATGGGAATAACATCTATCCTTTTAAAGGATATAAACTTATATCCTTTTAGATCTTATCCGTTGATTTCCGTCAATCAACGGTTATAATTTATTGGATTAAAATTATTAATTAATTAATAATAAATTTGGACCATTAAGTTTGACCTAATAGATTATAACCGTTGATGGACGGAAATCAACGGTTAGAATCTAAAAAGATATAAACTTATATCCTTTAAATAAATATATATTTTTCCCATATATATATATATATATATATATATATATATATATATAAAGATATACTTTAGATAATTTTATATAATGTTCATAAAAATACACACAAAAAAATATATGAAGTCTATGTTTTCTTTTTCTCTCGTACGGATCCACATCGATCCCACGCAATTAAAACCATATATATAACAATTGCTTTAAAAAAATTGTTCTACTTGGATTTAAGCCTCCATAATATAACAGTTGCTTTTGATTGCTATAATTAATGTTCTTAAAATCGCGTAGAAGATTGTAGGATCGTACAATGCTACGATTCGACTGGGATAGTTTTTCTCTTTGATATGATGGAATCAATGGGTAAGATTGTAAAACTGGTGGGATCGGACGATACCACAGTTCAAGTGGTTTGGGTGAAAAAACCCAAATTGAAGGCGACAGAAATTCGGAAGAAAAAACACAGAAAAGGAAAGAGCCTTTAAGCGGTAGTTGGCAAAGACATCCAACAGAAGAGAGGAAGAAAGGAAGAGACTCATTTGAAGAGAGAGAAAAAGTTTTGAATTTTTTTTTTTTTGTTTTTGTCTTTTTATGAACAAGGTGTGATTGTTTGATGTTTGTCTGAAATAGGACCTTAACAAGTGCCAGGTAAAAAACAAAACAAAACGAAAAAGTTGTTTCAAAACAGGACCTTAACAATTCTAATACATGAGTGTATTTTCGATATAATAGGAGTAAATAGTAAATACTCTTTAAAAAAAAATTAGGGATATAAAAAGAAATAATCATAAAGATAATATAAATATGTTATTTTTTTATATTTAATAAAAAATATGCCGAATGATCGGTACATCTATATTATATTTCCCCAATATACACGTCTGACGTGTCAATGATCTTAACAATATAGGCTATAATTTATGTGAGCCTTCTGGCTTTAATTTATTGGATAAAAGGTTCCAATTTTAATCGATAAGAAGACTACTTTGTCGCTGCAAAGGTCTGTATTCTGTAACGTGTAGAAGACACGTGTGAGACTAAACCAGAAATGACAGTTACGCGGTACCATACTGAATAACTTAACATTTTAGATGGCTGGAGTAAATCTTTATCTCTCAAAGGAAAAAATATCTTCACCTGATATTTTAGTCTCGACTGAATTTTTCAATCTTATAAATGATAACAGAAATAACATGTTTAACTTATAAAAAAATTACTCAATTCTATTACATAAATCCTTATAATGGAAGATTTCATTGCTATAAAATTCAGAATCGCCCACGGACAGTAATTTTCAAATGAGTTTGTTCTAAGTATAACTGCTACATATGCGTACGGGTTCCCAAAATTAAGCAGAATATAACCAATCAAAGTTATCTAAGGCAAATAAATGGGCTATCTTATCGTTTGAAATGACTAATTTGTTTTTCACTTGAAAAGCCAAACACACATAACAATCTTCATGGTTTAGTTCCATACAATTAACAAGTCGTTAATAGAAACAATTAATTATAAAATTACAAAACACTAAATACCTAAAATTTGTGCATTGAAAATGAAACAAAAGCTATCATGGGAATAGGTGGTTCTCACTCACCTCTAGTTCATTTTCTCCCAGAAAATGTCGTGCCAGATGGACGAGGATCACCAACTCCATTGACCAAAACCTCCAACATATCAACCAAGCTTCGACCAAACAATGATACGATGAGTACATATGGATCTTAAATATTAGATGTAATCGTCATGGGTGACAAAACCATCAATATTCGAGTGAGAGGGAAAGGGATAAAGAGAGGACAACATTTTTGACATTACTGTCGCACTGAAAAGTGGATACAATTCACATTTAAAATGAAATTACAATTATATATTTCTGAAAATATATAGATGTAGTTTTTTTCTCCTCACAAAATATGTGCGCTACAGGTGTTATATTTTCATTGAAAGTATATAGATAGTACGATAATAAATTAGAAATTTAGAAAAAGAGAGAGGGAGAGTCACGATAATACTGGAATTAGGGGTGTCAATATAGGTTATGACACGTGGGTCAACCCGTGACACGACACGAAAATTCGTGTTCGGGTTGACCCACAAAAAAAAATCATGCCGTGTTCGTGTTGGAAAAAATGACCAGTAAAAAATTCGTGTAGTGTTCGTGTTGAAGTATTCGTGTTCGTGTTACCCATATTTTTTTTAATTATTTTGTTTTTATTTTTTATTATTATTTTTTTAATTTTTTTTAATTTCAACCCATTTTTTTAAATTTTTAAAATGTCAATTATCGTTTTGACCCCTATTTTGCGTGTTATTCGTGTCGTGTCGTGTCAACCTGCCAAAAATTCGTGCCGTGTTAGTGTTGAAAATTTTGACACGAATGATGTATTCGTGTCGTGTCAAATTCGTGTCGTGTCAAATGTGTGCCGTGTCAACCCGTTTTGACACCCCTAATTGGAATATCTGTTTGGTTCAGCATTCACTTTAGTCTACATTTTCAATCTTGGACGAACTGGGATGCCCCTCATGAACTAGGTTCGTCGGTAAATCAGGTCCCATTCACCAACAACCATATTGACGAACCAATTAAATCCAAGTTCATCAACATTAACAATATTTTTATCCTAAACTAATTAGGATCGATGATAAATGAATCCAAATAAAAAGTACAGAGTAATAAAAATAAAAATAAATAAAATAATATATATATATATATATAAGTAAAAATAAAAAGGCTGTAAAAAGAAAAGGCGGGAAGGGGAAAAGAAGAAGAAGGTGGAAGATAAAGAGAAAAAGGACTAAAAAGGGATGGAACATAAGAATAACAACGGATCTAATCATCCACCATGCTAATAGTTTTTTTCCATTCTGTCTTAAAGCACACCGTCCTCCAATCTATATCTCACTTCATTAAGTCTTGTTTTACTACCTTCCCCAAGTAAGTTTCGATCTACCTCTACCTTTCTTTATATCGAGCTTGGTAACAAACTTTTGTTCTAACAGGAGCAGCCAGGGAGCTTCTCATTATATGCTCAAACCACTTCAATCTATGTTCTCTCATCTTATCAGCCACCGCTAGTACTCCTACCTTATGTCGAATATCTTCATTTCTTATCTTATCCATCCTCGTATGACCACACATCCACCTTAACATTCCCATTTCTGCTACTCCCATTTTATGTTCATGTTGCCTATGTGCTGGCCAACATTCATCTCCATATAACATTGCATGTCTTACTACTGTTCTATAGAATTTTTCTTTTAGCTTAAGAAAAATTTTGCGGTCACACAAAAATCCAGAAGTACTACGCTATCTTTGGTGGGTTTTGGTTATCTTCGGCCATGACTGGTTCTTCAGCAGAACTGAAACTTGATGCGTCTTGTGTCTTCTTCGTGGTCAAACGCTTCCTATTGGTTCTTTCTAATCGTCCTAACTCTGGTTCGTATTGTAGGTCACTGGGGTTAACAGTGCCTCACAGATGTATAAACTAGAAAACTAAGGCTCAGTGGAACCAACTAACGGAAACCACTAACTAACAGAAAATTTAAAATTTAAGATTTAAAGTAAACAATTTAAACTAAGAAAGCAAAATAAAATAACAAAACTAAATAAATAATGATAAAAATATTAAACTAACAAAGAAAGAAAATAAAAATAAAATGACAATAAAATAAAATGATCCAATCTATAATTTTATAGATAAAAGTAATGTTGATTAAATTAGTTCCCGGCAACGGCGCCAAAAACTTGTTGCGACTTCGGCAAGTGCACCGGTCGTACAAGTAATAAAGTGATAAGAGTAAGTTGTCGATCCCACGAGGACTGATGACCAATCACTAATTTACCTATTTAATTAAAGTT